TCAAGCTCTCAGACCCCACGCCATACCACATGTCGCACGTCATCGAAACAACGTTTTCCAGCATGATAACGCCCGTGCCCACACCGCCAGAGTTACTCGGGACTTTCTACAGCAGAACGGTGTCAAAGTTATGCACTGGTCAGCCCTTAGTGCGGACTTAAACCCGATTAAACATCTTTGGGATAAAATTCAGAGGAAACTTAATAACGTCGTACCGAGACCAAACACAGCCGATGGCAATGGCGTTCATCAATTGTCTGGTCCACTCCATGTACAGACGCTGCGCTGCTGTTGTTGACACTCGCGGTGGACACACCAGATACTGATGTACAGACTGTGTACAGACTCTAAACCTTCTCGTAATGTCTTATAATTGTGATGAATTAATCACTAATGTGTCAACATGCTGTTCACAAAAAATTGCTTTAATCCATTTTGTAAGTCGTTTTCTAGAATGATTTGATTAAAGTGCCTCTCTGATTTTACTGTTTAGTATATATAATTCTGGCCATTCAACTATCTGAAACAGTATGTGCATCAATTAAATCTGCACTGAAACTAGACCGATACCAGACGCCAAAAGACGAATGGGACAAATGCAAAAGCAATAGCGATAAGCTTCGGAAATAAAAAACCCTGTAACAATATTGTTTGATGGATGTTTTGTATTTTCATAGGCTTCGTACATCTAATAATTTATATCTGATTTCTTTCGGTGATTGTTTATCGCTATATTTGAATACATTAACTTATATATTATGTATGTAATCAAGCTATGACCATAAGGTTATCAGCAACAATGACTGACGCGAATTCAATCTCAGTTATATCCGCACTTGACCCTTTATAAGATATATTTGACAATGTGTTTTTGTTTATTACACATAAAAAAGTGAAAATGTCGAAAACGGACAGTGGCCCTTACGGTCTACTACTATATCGCACCCCAAGTGCCAAGGAATCTTTCATGTGTACGCCAATGTGTACACGGAACCTCGGTTTTTCGTATCATCCGAACGACTAGACAGCTGTCCTTGCCCCCCTCCACCCGTCCTGCATGACTTACAAGGGGGACCACGCCAAAAAATTCCGAGGAACATTTTTGGCGAACACGGGGAACGAACCCGCGACCTGCAGGCTAGCGAGCCAGCTTCTTACACACTGGGTCACGGTAGATGCCCTATTTTTGAGAAGCGAAATCCATATAAAAATTTCAAAATTTCGCATTGTAAATTTAGAATTCGTTTTGCAAAGTTATCCTTCCAGTTTCAAACCAATTTAAGACAAACTTGACGGGGTTGCTCACTAAACACAATCGAAGGGCTCTATTAGTTTACTGCGTTATCGCCCGGTAAGCTTCCGTGCACATTTTAAATTTTGAAGCTATCGAACACACTGCGGTTAAACTTTCTCTTAGGATTCTTAAAAAAAACGGTTTGGAAATATAGAAATGAACCGTTATATTTGGCACAAGGACTTTTATTTTATTAGTCCCCAATTTGATTTAGATATAAAATCTAAATGACTTGGTATAGATTTGTCTGAAAACCAATGAATGCTAAATTTTTAATAATTTGCCATTATATGCCCACACCAAGTATATGACATGAAATGAAATGGGGTTTAACGTCCTACTGTTCTGCTCCTATGCTGGGCTAATGAAAACGGGCATACGCCATACAGTGTGCTATGAGGGAAATTTTGCCCGGGCAGCGGCACTATCGCCTACTCTTATATCGAATTCCAACTGCCAAGGGATCTTTTACGTGCATTTCAATGTATACACGGGACCTCGGTTTTCCGTATCACCCGGAGGACTAGACAGCTGTCCTTGTCAGGCCCTCCGTCATGCATCACTGACAAGGGGGAACCACGCCGGAAAATCTAGATGACCTTTCTCGGCCAATGCAGGGATCGAACACCCGACCTCCAGGCTAGCGAGCCAGCGTCACCAAGTATATGAAAAAGACAAAGATATAAATGCCCAAACAACTGTTTTTTTTGTTTTTGTTTTGTTTTAATTCAACACAGTATTATATACAGATGAAAAGAAAAACTCTATGTACATTAATATATTTAGCACCCTATAGCACTCTATGTAGATTTTTATATGTAATGTCATTGACATTGCGAAGCAACGAAACACATGCCCGCCAAACTGCTGTGTCATCCAAACAGTTATATATGGTGGCTGATTGGTATCATGTCGTGGTGTCGCCCTTCATCACGGGTTAAATGTGATGTCGGGTTATCGCCTTATGAAGGGCGACACCACGACATCACGACATGATACCTATCAGCCACCACAATGACAGTCAATTTCTGTTTTGAATTGTCACATATCCTCTCACAGTCTCATATAACTTCTGGTCTTCGAAGGTATTATTAGTGAGCAGAAATTCGCCCGTGTATCTGTTATCACTCGTCACTTCAGTCAGTTATATAGAAGGATAACTCGTGTTTCCTTTTATGTTCGTCACTTCCTTTTTTAGAAACCTTCACTACCCATCTATCGTAGCAATGATCTTTGTGTTAAAATAGACACAGTGAACAAATTATGCTCTCCAGCACGGTTTGTAACGGGGCGTCTTGATGGACGAGGCTAAACATCAGTGCGTAAATGTCAAACCGTACTTCCTATGTAGACTGGACTTACCAACTTATCGCAATTCAATTTGGACAGCTCGATTATTTAGACGAATAAAACTGATCAGAAATTAAAATAACGGTTAAAAAAAACTAATGTAAATCAGGTTATATACACAGATAATACATAAACAAATCTTTTTTCAAACCCATTTACTTCCGTTTTAGATTCGAAAGAATAGAGATGTAGCTCAATTAACAGTGCTAACAAGATTTGGCAACAAAGAGTAATAACTATAGAACTAGAAGTTAGGCCGTGTTGAATTGATTCCTTGTTTCTCCTCGCCCGCGCGCTTAGGTCGAGGACCCCGAAAATCGTGCGCTTACGTTTTTAACACAAAAAAAAATATTCAAAAAATTACGTTAATAACATCTAAATAAAATTCTACCAAACATCAGAAGTCAATTCTCGTTGTTTATTCCTCGTTACGAACTAAATAAGTAAGTGCAGGGGGCCGCACTACACGCAAAACAAAAATCTACAAGATAAACCTGCGGACAAGACAGAAAATAGGCATTGCACCCAATAAACAAATATCAAATCAAGTGAATGGATCCGGTTGATAATACACATGTAGGGGCCCGCATACTATGGAATAAGTTACACTGTATATGATTGGATGAATTCCGCAAAATGGCGCGTGTAGCAGTCATTTCGGCTAATGAGAAAGCATATTATAAACTGTAAGACAATCGCTAATATTCAACCGCGAACCTGAATAATCAATTTTTCATTGGCTAAAATTATAACACATGTCATTATTATTCAAGTATTACGCAATCATATCTTGTGTAATAAATAACGCACGCCTTACAAAATGGTGAGCTTTGCCGGGACAAAGGTAAATTCGCGTACCGGTCGGCCTAATTTATTGATGTTCAAGGAAATAATAGTGGCCCCGTTCGCTCGTTCGTTCGTTTCTGGAGTTTAACGAACGAACGAACAAACGGGACCACTATTAGTTCCTTGAACATCAATAAATAAATAAGGCCGACCGGTACGCGAATTTACTTATCTCGACTCGACTTTGGTGGTTATTCCCAGCACTTTCACGTTCGATGATATTATCGAAACCATCTATAACTCAACAAGCGAATCAAATATCGTCTAACTGGAATGTTTCCATTGTATTTTAACACAAGAATACGGAAAATTTATATCAAAATATGGTTATTTCATTTTTTAAAAAGTTAAACAAAGAAGCCACTTGTTTCCAAATTTTAGTTTGTTATTAAATTTATTTAATTAAATATTATCTGTGTTTTTATTCTAACCAATAATATAACTAGATTATTTATAATATTATTAAAAATGGTACACAACCCTCAGACTATATAGGTATTATGCCAGACCACTTTGTGTTTTGAAACCCACTTTGTGTTGTGTTTACCGCACTACCGCACATGATTGCCTGAGTGGTGGCAGGAGAAACAAGGAATCAATTCAACACGGCCTTACCTAAAATCGTCGAAAATCAAAAAAGGTTTATTCATTTCAATAAGATAGACAACACAATTTCAAAAAGATTTAAAACGCGATTTCAAAAAGATTTATCAATTATTGTAGTCTATATTGTTCTAACAAGATATGGTAACGACAGATGGGCAGACCAAGTGAGAACAATAAACGACCACAATGAAATGTGGGCGTAAAATAAAATGACAAAACATCCAAAAATAAGTTACTTATAACCGTTTCTGACAACGAAAGTAAAACGATTTAATCAGTTATAAGCGAATCTTTCATTTTGCTTGCACACTACAAATGGATCTAAACAGGGATTTTGTGTGGGTTATCTGGACCCCAAAACCACCCCAGAGATGTCCGGCTGAGCCGAAAGTTAATCTTTTTACTTTCCACGTGGCCACAAAATAGAGTTAATGACATATAATTTAGGCTATATTATTTCCGATAATTTGAATTCACGTTGCTATAACTGGTCAAATTACTTGGCTACTCATTTTAAATGTACCGTCTCCAAAAGGGTAAAGTAAAGCCATGAAGATTAATAAATGTCCATCTACAGTTCATTATTTACAGTTGAATATAATATGCCCTTAATTGTTGAATGCCAAGTACTACTAAGCAGATATCGTACATCAGTGTTTCTGTTCTTGTGTATCTTCTCAGGCCTTCGATGTATTTAGCAATTAAGTAGTAACTAGTAAATACGAAAAATGGGACACGACCGAATGCCATTTAAATGCTTAACTGTTCGACTTGATATGCTACGCTGGTAAAAGTCTCATGCTCATGGTACATTAAATTTCTCATTCACAAGAAGCCCGGTTTATTAATAGCACAACAATGCCATAGTTTGTTGAATGATATTTACAATGCAATTATGGTATCATATTATTTCAAAACTACTACATTTATTCGTATATCGTTTTGAAATACGTCTCAAACAACCCTCCACAAAAATAAGCTAAAGCGGTGTAAATTCTTTGTAGGTTCGCAAGAAGCCATTTTACGTTACACATCCTGTGCCTTTAGTCATTATGTTTATTTAATAAAACCACACCGAAAAATGTTCTGTCTTTTGAGATATCGATTGTTAAATTAGGCAACATGTTCTGTAATACAATTGTGTCTCCTTTTGAAAGTTGCAGTACGCCTACAAGAAAAACAAAAAAGACAGATTGTTCACAAGCCTAGTAATAGTAAAATACAGACAAAAGAAAAACCACTGACACAGAAAACCCCCCACATTATTTCTTAAAAATTTTGGTTTGCAATTTACATGTTTTTTTCTAATATCTTAACTTATTGCTTATAATGGATTATCGCATGGTTGAGCACCTTTATTGTCTGTCGATCTTTACAGGGGACCTCCTCCAGCATTATAACAGTACTACAATCACAAATCAAGGTTATGATTTCAAACTATTTATAGTTTGATTAATGTAGTGTAACACAAATACATTCTGAGATATTGTTTCATATTTATAATTGTAGTGTAATTAAAACAGCGAGCGAAAATTAAAGACTGATTGTTATACTCATTATTTTCTAAATGATGTAAAACCATAATTTTATTGTAAATAGTGTATAGGTTATTGGGACATAATAGGTTTTCAAGCGTTCACATTTTGAAAAGATCATTGATATCTATATGATATTTTCAGATTAAAGAGAATCAATAGTAGGAATGGTCATAACAGGGGTCATTCCAATTAAACTCACCTGTTACAGAACACGTTTTATGCCTAATATTGTATTTATAATCATCATGTTCCACAGCATCAACTCCATCCATACATATTAGTCTAGCTTTATCATTTACCTTGATGGTGTGACATAATTTCGTTTTGGCATCGTAAAAATTCGTCTATATGAAATGTTAAAATGTGAGTAAATTGTTATAGTAGATGTCAATAGAGAAAACAAAACTTATCTTTGAACGACTTGAGATATTAAATATATACATCAACCAAACAGGATTATAATATGGCTAGAACATGCATAAGATGAAAGTTATAAAAACAATAGCGAGACTGTCATATAAGGTAATTACTATAAATTTTTATTGTCTTGACATAGTATAAGGACCATGCCGTATCATTGAAAACACAAAGTTGAACAAACATATGTTAGTTATAATGTGAATTCTGAGAAATAAGCAAATTCAGTGCGGATATTCGTTTTGAGAAGATTGTTCATATTTCGTCAACATTTAGTAGATTCTGTTGGAAATTGATACCGAATTTTAGTACCGTAATTGGATGAATACAAAATGGATAATCATTTATAGAATGAGAAAAAGAATAAAATGTATAATGTTCCACACAAAGTCAAAAGAGTCATGCAAATTTTGATATAACCTTTCGAGAAAATGAAGCGTCAAGAGTTCCAATTTTGTCCACTGGGAATAGCACGAAGTAACGTACCCAGAGCATTTGAATAGGTTTAGTTTTACCAGGCGTTTAAAATGTGTAAGATTCACACCAACAGCTTAGCATAAACAACCAGATTCATATAAAGCGCCGAAGCATAACAATCTGCTTCAAGATGCATTGTGTAAGAGCTCTATCTGTCTTTGCAGGTTTTTCTTTTCGCCTCAAATGTTATATAAATTCTGATTTAGACATTTATTCAGCCTATAACCAAATCTCTAGACCATCGGACGGCGCAGGTGTAGCCGAATTAAATACGTTTGCCATTTAATGATTTGATTTAAAAATGGAGAAGCAATTATCGCTTCTACCATAATAAATAATCCGTGTCAAAACATCAAACAGTGACTAATAATAGTCTATTTATATTGCGCAATATCCATGCATGAGCATGCTCAAAGCGCTGTCCACAAACAAAGTAATTTGAATGAAATTTTCAACGTATTAATTTTGAATTATCTTTTTTGGAACTATTATAGCAAGAACGGCCAGCTCTTTATCTAAATCTTACTTAATGTAACTTTAAGCCGAACATTTGACAAAAACATAACACGCTGTCCAATATTATTAAGAAAAGGGTAATTTAATGATAATTCAAGTTTTAGACAATGAGACATGAATAATGCATGGTGTTCTTCATGCATTAATACAGTTTATGTTACGCATACAAAGACTAACATAACATGGCCAAGAGAAAAGAGCATACAAACTTACACTTACAGTGCTGTAGATCAAATATATTCCACTATACTTCACTTCAAACTTGCCATATTTCGGTTTGAAAATTAAAGGGTTGGTTTCAGTTTTTAACCATTTTGCAGGGTGTAGAAACTTATAATTGGTCTCCGCTTAAAACGTAAATTTAAAAAATAAGGATCCAGAATTACCAATTAAAGGTAGAGAATTATTTCAACTGTATTATTGTCACGTTTAATACCCTCCTTAAAGAGAATTGCACCCAGTTTATTTATGGAATTCAAATTTAGTATCAAAATAAATGCAAATTTGATATATTTATAAAGAAAAACGTTAAGTATCCCATGTAATTTTCGCAGTGATCTGTCTTACGAGAAACGCCAAAACTCGTAAGACACGTCATTGTTAAAAAAAATACAGCGGGTGCTTAACATTAGTCTTTGTGTGTACTTTTCTTAATCATCAAGATCATCATTTTAGTGGCTCGAAACATTTAGCGGTGTTTTGCTGTTGGAACTTAATTGCAATGATAATTTGAAACTTTGAATAGAACTTACGTTTAGGTATAATTATTGTTCTATTTCTACAGACCGTGGTACTATCAGATTTTACACAGCGGAGCGATGAACCTAAATCAGAATTGAAACAGTGTTGGATGGTTTTGTGATATGCCAAGGAATCAGATGAAATGATCTGGATGATTAATGACCGTTGGTGGATACTAGGATAGGTTTGATTTACAGAATAGTCTAATCAATAGTAAAATGAAAATATGCAGTTTTCGTAGCAAAAACCTTAATCCGAAATACCTGAATAATTTTCTATAAGCGAGAATGAGTATGAATGTTACAAGAGCAAATCTGATAGACTTATGTGCCGTTCAGACGCTTAAGTTAAACTGGTTTTAAAACGCCGGTGGTCGTTAAGTCAGCTAAACTCTGTTGTCTGAACGCAATGATATACAAATCATTTCTTTATAAGAATCGAAGCCCGCTACCGGTCTTCCAAATGGGCCCAATTTTTAATCTGGCTTATATTGGCCGACCCAACATGAAAGATTAAAATTGCCAGCTTCAGATTGCCATGCAGCTTCAGATTGCTTGGCATAGGTATTTTATTACCCTTTTTACATGGAAATTTGCAGTTTCAAGTTGGGTATACGCATGTGTAGTGAACTATAACCTTGTTGTCGGAACAGTAAAGTTGGCTTCACTTATATTCTGTGTAAATACAACACTGTTCTGGCTTTAAAACCCCGATGTGGTTTTAATACTAGCTTGAAAAAAAAGTCATCTGAAAGGCATTGATAAGTAACAAGGTTGACTCAGACAGTTGAAATAATTAACGAGAAATAGAACAATAGTAATGGTATTTTAATGCTTTGAACCTATGGAATTGAAAGAAGTAAAGTCTTTGGAGAACAACTGACTATATTATATTTTAAATTAGATAGTAGATAATAACAATAAATAGTATATAATAATAAATAATGCATCTGACATGTACTTTATTCGACTATTAAATTTATAATTTGTAGCATTTATTTCATTTTTGTTTGTTTTGTTTTTAAAAGGGGTAATCTTACTTACCATCCGACTTGTATTCCTTGAATTTATCTGATTCGTAATTTTCAAAATTGGAACTGTAGTGGGCGGCCTGTAGTGGATCCTAAATAAAAGTATTAAATGTATATTTAGTAATTTACTAATCACGTATATGTGGCAAGTATATGACTTATAAAAGTAAACGTAAACAGAACGGTTAATTTCCATTGTAATGAAATGCTCATTTATATAAGTTACCATGAAAATAGTAATACTTACAGCGGAATCACCCTTTGGCCCTGGAAATAATAAAATATAGATATAAATTCTTAGAAATAAATTATGAGAATTCTTAGAAAGTGACGGCCCTATATATTGTGATTCATTTTGACAGGTTTATAAGTTTGGGTGTTCGCTTAGAAATTTGTTAAAGCAATATTAATTTTATAATAATTATAAGAATGTGTAATCTTTCATACCCTTTTTTCCACGTTTGCCTGCAAAAGAAAACATTATTCGATATAAAAGCAATTCATGGTGATTCGCGTATCTTCCAAATTCCGTTTGTAAACTATTAGGATTATCTTATGGAAGATGCAACTTCTCACAATCCAACCCTCTATAAATATAATTCATGTAACTAAATCGTATTTCTGTCTATATGTACTTGACAAATATTGTTTAGACTTTAAAAATGCAAAGAATATAATATTTTGATTACATTTACATATATTCTGCTTACATTTACATTTACGGTGTCTCCTCTTTTTTTTTGGCTTAGTCTCTTTTTTGTCTTCTTTGGCAGCTCTACCAACCCGATCAAATGGTCTATCAGTCAAACTGAGCTGAATTTTAAAAAAACATGTATATTAGATTATCTAATAAACAATGAAATAAGAGAATAAATTATATATATCTGTATAGAACTCCTATTCTGTTTTAAGTATATATGTTAAGTGTTCAACTTAATACATGTATATAATATATAAATATATAAAATATTTGTCCCGGTAGAAAATATTACATACTACTTTCTATATCAATAAAAATCTTAGCAACCTGACGATAATAGTTTTAAAATAGGAAATCAAATGGCATGACATGGTCTTATTTAAAAAGGAAACGCAACACTGGCATATCATAATTATTTACACTAACTCAGTCCTAAGCTGAGGTCACTTTGTTCGAGGACAATCATCCGTATCACTGCTTCACGAAAGTAAACGGTTTGTTAAAAATATCGATATCTTGCCGTTGAACGTTATAACTGAATTTATACCACACATGGAAAAAAAACCGCCCAACAACATTGTTTATTTAAGAACTTACCTCGAAGTTGTCACCTGTGTCACGAAAAGCCAGCTGATGATTTTGCGCCTCTTTATCGGACGCTATTTTATATTCACACAGAGGTCGATATCCATGGAAGTTCAACCATATTAAAGTTACAACAGTTATCAAGCAGACGACACAGAGGATACATGAAGCTACACATAATACTGTTAATGTTTTTAACGACTTACGACAGTCACACGAACAAACTTTGGGGCACTCTAGAAGCTCCTTGTCCAATCCTTCACCATTAGGACGAATTTCTGCAGAAGCATCAAAATTGGTAGAACTCATTGGTAATTCCTTGTTTGAATGATGATAGGTATAAATTATGGCATCTATTCAAAGATTACGCAAAGCTGTTCTTACGCGTTATGGTGTGTGTAATTGTCATACAGATAATGGTTACGTATAATGGCGATATCTAGGCCACGGTGTGATACATTTCTGCAACAGGGAAATACTTCCCGAAAACAGGGGGCGCGGTTTCGATTTACCTCAGTCTTGCGATCATAAGTGAATAACTGTACTTTATGATTTGTCTTTTTATATGAATTTTATATAGTGACACATACAAGGGTTCCCAGAATTCCAACATAAACTCCCCCTGATCAATTATATCAGTTTCCAAGAAGTGTGCATATAGCAATCAATGAAGGAACAATTTAATAAATTTTTATTAAATCCACCTACATGTATTTCCGTAAAGGGATTTTCGTTTCCACACACTTAAAGCCCACACATATATGGTTGATTTCGTCTCCAAGTGCTATCACTACACTTTTACGGAGAAATTTTCGGAAATGTGCTCTTAGGGCAAGTATATAAGTAACAGAAACAGAAAGTAAATTAGATTCTTGGAAATCAAGACTGCAAAAAAAAACAAAAACCAAGGAACTATTTGCAAGGATTAGCGACAAATTTGTGTTTTCATGACTATCGGAGTTACCCCCCTTGTTCCACAACAGTCAAATAGTACCTTATATTATATTAACAGTATGTCGCAAAATTTGAAATGTTTTGTTGAATGGATTTACATGAATATGGACATGTCTCAGGAATAAAAATAAACTACATGTTGTATATGTCCACATATAATGTCGCCATCTGTGACAGTGGTCCTTCGTTCCAGCCAACTGGATATTTTCTTTTATTAAATTGGAACTACACAGAAATTGTTCTTTTTTCATAAATAGAATCCTATCGAAATTAAATATTAAGGTTGAGTTCTTGTCCTTACAGGCCAGGGAGTGTACAGTCCAGTGGAATCTTACGGCTGGCCCCCGCATACATTCACTTAGTTTGATATTTGTTGGGTTTTCTTTTGTTGCAATGTCTGTGTGGTTTGTCTTGTCCACAAGTTTTTCTTGTCGGTTTTGTTATAATCAAGCCGACAGTGTCCTAAAAAGTTTGACGGACAGACAGACGGACGGGTAGACACATTTTAATAGTCCCCTACTTCCTTCGAAAGGTGGGGGACAACTTGGGATTGTTCATGGTTTTATGACACATAGGGTATTGCACAAACCATATGCCACAGATTTGGCTAGTCATCAGGAGGAGAAGGAAACCTATCGAAATTCATATCGCCCTTCTATTTTTTCAAGAGTGGTTGCTCTTGTCACCGAAACCTTGTACACGGGTCCAAGTTTTGGATCAGTATAATTTCAGAAATTTTGAACCGAAATTCATATAGTCATGCAAGGTGAAATGATTTAGGCTACAAGCCATATATATATATATATATATATATATATATATATATATATATATATCATCTAATGTTCATTCATTAATCGAAGCAGCTAAAACTTAATATATATTAATAATTTTATTTTAGGAGCGAAGTGTCTGTCAGCTTAATCTGGGTGAGCATAGAAATGTAAAAAAAGCCGTTAACAGATGTGTATTCTCTTTTTGACTAACTACTCTACAACGAACCCACTTAGCTGTGGATAAATTATAAGTTTATTTCATACTTCATGTATTTATGGGAGCCACCGTGGCTAAATGGGTAAGAGCTGGCTCGTTAACCTGGAGGTCGGGTGTTCGATCCCTGCATTGGCCGAGAAAGCTCATTTTCCGACGTGGTTTCCCCTTATCAGTGGTGAAGGACATAGGGCCTGACAAGGACAGCTGCCTAGTCATTCAGATGAGACGAAAAACCGTGCACGTAAAAGATTCCTTGGCAGTTGGAATTCTATATAATTACGTTCATTTAACACCGCGTAAATCCTGTGCATGCCTGAACCAACATTTATTTTATCCATTTGTATGTAACATTAATAAACTTTACTTTACCCTATATTGTCATTGAAAATTTGAAGGTATCTTGAAAGTCCCAACTCATTCAAAATCTATATTCTTACTTTCTGACAAGAACCCGAATATTGAAGTAGCCATTTGCATGTAACTAACTTTTAGATGTAACACCTGGACACTGAAAAGGGTTTGTTTTTGCAATCTGCGGAAATGAAGGGTCCTACTAATCACCGACAAGAGCAAATTTATGTAAATAGTGCCACAAGTCTTGCAAAAGTGATGAAAAGGTAAAACATGCTGTAGATATGCATATATCATATCCAAAATTTAAATGATTTTTTAAAAAATAGAAAGAAATATGGATAATTGAAATTTTGACAATAACGGTCCTACACCATGAGTAAGAACTGTGATAATTACACAACGCCAAATGGCAACATGTTAAGAAATTCGTGATCATTATGTAATAGCTTATTATAATATGCATCTTGTATTTAACATAATGTATGTTTTTGAAATCATTATGAACAATTATTATATGACATCATCAGCTTTTTTATTCACCATAATCGACTTTTGTAGAGAAATCACACAATAACAACCTATGACTAAATTTGACAATCACGTCTGAAATAGAATCAAACAATTAAGTGTTATAACAAAAAAATAATGAATTAAATATATGATTGCTAAATGGTCTAAAACAAATAAATAGTTCCAATCCGAACTGTACCGAAGTACATTCTGTCCGACTCCGATCCGATTAGATGAGCTTTATTGAATTATTTTGTGTGTGTGTGTTTTGCTATGAATTGCTCATCTAGACCAAACGTACATACATACTATAATGGCACAATCATTAAGTACTATAATTCATATTAAGTAAAATCCAATATCTAAGCCCACGGTCCTAGCCCTTAAGCTTAACTTTGGCCAGTGAAGTGTTCCGAAATAATTCATCATTCAGTATGCGAATAAACATTGAATGTGTATGGTGGCGGCATTAAAAATTTAAAACAACGTCCTAGTAGTCCATGTGACAGACCTGGATTTTGGAACATCATTACCAATTTGATAAATTAATTCAACCATGATTTTCAGTCAGCCTGGTCGCTGAAGTGTTCAAATTTGATTGATGGACTTCCGAGTTACTTTGCTAAATTGCATTTTGGCGGCCATCTTTAAAAATGGCCGCCATTATTTCATTGAAATTGAGCGCATCGGGGAAACCCTCATAACTCCTGAAAAGATCGACCCATGGATATGGAATGTGGCTCACAATGTTCACAAGAAAATGCTACTTCTGGTGCTATATGATACTTGTTGTTGAATGAATCATATATTTTCCAAATCAACATATTATTCTGGAAGAAGCAACCTTTTGACATTTTTATTTTCCCAGGTTTTCATGATTTATTTTATAAGTTTACTACCAAATCATGTTCAGAGTAATTTTAGCCAAATCATGTGTGTGGTCTTCTTAAGTTATTCAATTAGCATAAATAAATACGCCAAGTGGTCCTTCCTATACAGCTGCGGTGGCCGCAAACTCAACAAAAGTCTTAAGTAGACTGTCAAATTTAAAATGTTGAACGTCGGCGAAGCAGGGCACAAACTTAGTGAACTTTTAGCTAGTGTGTCACAATCGAAACGATATTTAGGGACGGGTTGTTTCTGTGTCAAAATTTGTCCCTAAAGACAATTTTGAGATTATGTCACTTCTGTGACGTCATTTTCGGTTGGGGTTCTGTCCGATTTATAAAATGGCCGCCATAATTTAACGAAAAACGAATTTCTAGTTAGGATGGGTGAGTATCATGCAAGGTAGGGCTTGTGATATATCATATATAGGGTTTTCGTAGCCACTGAATTTAAAATTGAATTATTTATTGGAATTTTCGATGAAACGGAAAGGTTTGTTCCGCACAGGTATTAGCTTAGAAGGGACAAATACAATTTGTAGAACCAGATATTTGATGTTAGTGAACCCATTTTTTCCAGGACACCTGTTTCACACAAAATCTTATTTTCTATCCAGACGAACCTTCAGTATAATAATCTATCTGCATACAAAGTTTATGAAAATACACATTCAAGCAGCATTTAATATGGTCTACCACCTGTAGGACACTCCCTTCAACTTAAAAATAAATTGTTTATTGGAATTTTCGATTAAACGTAAACTTTCTTGTACCTGTAAAATACTCGACTAATATACCAGTTGTTAATTTGTAACATGTTTAACATCATATCTTTCCACGCGAACTAACAATAAATTTTTCATTCGATAAAACGGAAACATATTTTATACCTGTCAAATAAATACCAATTGATTATATGATACGTTGAAGTTTACCATGTAATACGGAAATTTGCAACACGTTTATAAGCACCATATCTTTCAAAATCAACTAACAATAAATTGTTGATTGGATAAAAAGGAAACATTTTTTTTATATAACTGTAAAATAATATACGAATTATCGTTTTAACATCGTATCTTTTGCCTCCCTTTTCAGGGATGGACACTCAAAAGGAGTATGGTAGTTTCGGGGGTCCCTAAACTAGTCAATGTTCTTGCGTAGTCATGAATTTATGTCGTTTTTGATGAATTATTAAGATATATACATAAGCTAAAATCACCAGGATATACTCTAGAAAGTACCCTTTAAATTACAGTCAGTTTTTTCAAAAGAAATTTCGAGCCTGGTTGTAGAGAACCCTGTCGTTCACCTCATGGAGCAAAGATAAGCCTGTCCTATCCTAGGTATCATATGTGTAATTTCATGTCAACTTCTCAATTGTTAGGATGTGTCATTTTTAGCAATATCATTAACATCACTTTCAGCATTAATTTTTGAGTTTTTATTCAAGTTCAGTGACTCTGAAAACCTTATAAAAGAGATATTATAAGTTATATAAAACATTCATTCATGTTATGGAAATTCTGGCCGCCATTTTGAATTTTCCCCATCTTGGATTATTACAACTTTTTGTTTAGATTAAACATACATTATGCAAGTGCTAAATCTGCCTATTCCAGGTCTTTCTTTAGGCCTGAAATGTTTTCTAAATTATTATTTAGACATTAATTAACTGATCCAGGCCATAATCAACTCTCGATGGCATTGGATTTCTCCGATATTAAATAGATTAGAACGGTTCAGCCATATTTTTATTTTTATCTAAAAATGGAGGAGCGAGACTTAGCTTCGAACAGCCAGTACAGTGGTTGAAATTATTGCACGTGTCTTGTTAAACCTTCAAAGGCTAATATCTTCGCTCGCAATAGAGTAATTTGAAATTGTCAAATTATTCATTTTACATTATCTATTTTCGAACTATTGTAGCAAGAATGGCTAGCTCTTTATCTAAATCGTACGTAATGTATCTTTAATTGTAAGCTTATTGGATAGTACATGTCATATCAAACAATGAAATGACTATTATCTGACATATTGGTCATTTTAGGAAATTTTGTCGCCATTTTGAATTTCCGCCATCTTGGATTTGGGACACTCATATTAGAGATTATTTTTTATGATCAATGTTTCTGATATCTATTAAATCACTTTAGTAAACTTACGAACAGACATGAAAAAAAAATCGAAAATGTTGCTTTTTTTTCAGATTAATCTTTTACTTTAAAACTGGTAGTATTGATTAAACAACATTTATCATACAGCAGCAGATGCAGAATTATATTATGAACATTTTGAGATATATTACATATCCATATAGGCGAAACTGTTGAGGAGTAATGAAGGCTTCCCCGACTCGTACTATTCAAATAAGAAAAAAACGGCGGCGGCCATTTTTAAACATGGCCGACAAACTGACATTTGGCAAAGTGACCCGGAAGTCCATCAACCAATTTTGGACACTTAAGACCTAAGGCTAACTGAAAATCATAGTTAAACCAATTCATCAAATTGGTAATGAATATCTGCCTGTCACATGGACTATAGCGAAGACGTAGTATTCAGATAACATATTTTGGCTCGAAGTTCGCCTTCATCGTCATAATGGGGGGTTGGATGGCTGAATGGTTAGCACGCGCGCTGTATCATAAAGTCTGTCATTGAGTCAACTGGCGTGGTTTGGAATCCCCGGTCGTACGTGACAAGGAGTAGGGTCGCCTGTCCAACCTCGTGTGTTTTCTCCGGGTCCTCCGGTTTCCTCCCACTGCTAAAGACCCATATGCGCAAGCGAATTATTGAAATAAAATAAACCATATGTTAGTCCCGATATGACCTAGTTTGTGTCGAGTGGACGTTAAATCCCATTTCTCTCTCCCTCTCTCTCATCGTCATTACGAACGACCCCAAAAGCATTTAGCTCCACATACAAACCGAAAAAATCGGAATCAAACTTTCTAATGGCCATTTTAATTTCTAGTCAACACTAGACCAATACTTAGTTATTCATACGAAGTGACATCATTTAATTGTACACGAAATTATATATACTACTCACTATTAATAGTTGTAATTGGCGGATATCTAACCATTGATGTTTGAGATAGATAATAGACAAGGGTTCCGCTACCCAATATAGCCACAGTAGACAGAAATACCGTATTGTCCAATATCAAAAAGGAAATCCCAAGTATTGTAGAAACACCCACATAAACAATAGGACAAAACAGCACAGTCTAGAACAAAAAACAATATGATTAGATAACAATGTCCTTGTCAGCCCCTGTGCTATACCTAACAATTGAGAACCGGTCGTAAAAATCCATAATTCTTGTCGGCCCACAAAGGGCTTTCGCAAGTTTCAAAATAGCTCGACGAGCGCCATCCCACTCAAAACAATAAAAAATTCAAAATCGTGTAATAGATTCAAAATACTAGGCCAACCTTTCTCGTGCTTATAACAAGCCATACGATTCCGCAAAAATGTATCATTTTAGGAGTTTCCTGCATAATTCAGAGTATTAAATGAACAGAAAAATACAATTTTTTCAAAACACATACATATATTATATTAGGATAGATATACCTGAAATGTGTCCGTTGTGTCTGGATATTTCTGTCTTATCCATTTTAAAGAAGCTACACAAAATATAGACCAGGTTATTTTAAAGAATGAATAGGTAGTTAGTAAAGATCTGATATCCCCAATCAGTATAACCATTACAGATGTTAGAAACTGAAAGTTAAAACATTACAATAGATTGATCAATCTAAATGTAAATGAACGTGTTATAGCTTGGAGCCTTTGGGCATGGCGGGATGAGTAAAACCAGCTGTGTTAATTTTGGTGTCCAGTACCATTCACGAAATTGTTTAATTATTAAATCAAGCATTACACAACCACTCCACAAACAAATAAGAATCTTACGGTATGAACGGTTATATTAATCACCGACACGGGGTTTGTTTGTCAATAGTATTTCAGTGCCTTTTTGTGTCGACAGCGCCTAAAGTATAGCTCATAAAGCATTGGAAAAGGTGGCCGACAAGGAAAGATATGATATAGATATACGCTTCTTCTATATGCCATCATTTATGGATATTGTTGGCATAAAAGACGTTTGTGGGTTCTTGTCCAGTTCCGAACTGGGCCCACCTGTCCACCTGTCCGTGACAGGTGGGCCTAAGCTCATTAAAAAAAGTGGGCCTAAGCCTATAAAGCAAAAAGAAAAAAGAAAAAAGAGAAAGAAAGGAGAGGGGGGGAGGAAAGGAAAGAAGGAAGGAGAGGACAGGACACAGGTCAGGAGAAAGAAAAAATAGGAAAAAAATGACTGACAACACAAAAAAAAAGTATACTACAAGGAAAGAACTTTATGAGTTTGACCTCATTATACCGAGAACGAGAACCGTGTAATTCATCTTTTAACCTCTACTTAGTTCTTCATAAGTCATTATCGCCGAAATAATCACCAAAAACTTGCCAGTTTTGAGTTTTTCGCGAAAAATTAATCACTTCCGGGTTCGGATTTCACTTTCAGTTTCACTTTTCACTAATTGTACCAGGAAATCTAAAATTTGCCTTTTTCTGCTTTGGTCTGAAATGCTTGGAAAATGGGTTTGCGGTTGTCAATTTTCAAAATTTTCCAAGGGGGGGAGAACCCCGCGCAGACTCCCCTCGAACGCTCGCGCGCCTTCGGCGCGTACTTGTGTGGGCCTTGGTCAATGACCTGACAGGTGAGCCTTCGGCCCACCAGTCCAGCACTGTTCTTGTCTGTGATTAGTACGACCCGAACAGACAAATTTCCATTAAATCTGTATTTAATTATATTTATAATCTTGCATGTTTAAAAAAAATAATTGAGAACTAACCAGAAACAAAATGGATACTAATGGTGTTCGCCTGGTTATACTGACCATGCTCAGGAAGCGTGGAAAGAGGTTATCTCTTCCGGCAACAAAGTTCATACTGAAACAAAGGTTTAGAACTATGAAGATAGAATCCAGGAAGTAAGAAAATAAACCATCGGAACGAAACCAAATAACAAGAAGAACATGAACTTACCGACTAGCCATAAAAATATTGCTATTACCGGAAACAGCAGCAAATAACCCGATGATCGGTAAAATCACCCATTGAAAGAATCCTAATTTATGCTTTGAAAATACCTGTCACAATAATAAAAAAGCAATAAATAATACATTTATTTAATTATGTAAAATTACTAAATAACAACGATTTTATCATGTATTCGACATAACTTTCCAAGTTACGAAGATCTATTTAGAATAAGACTTAGAATCAATATTTTCTTCTTAAAGATGCATCACAGACAATCCAAAATGTCAAAGTTAAATTGTTCACCATATCATGACATAAAAACCCCCCAACTTAAATTCAAAGTGCCAGAATGATTGCCATAATTTTGGCATGAGAACATAACAGAATACAACTTTCCCAAGCTGATTAGGCCACCATGATGTTATCTAAGTAAAAAAGACAAAAACTTCCTTGAGTCCAATCGTTCAAAAGTTTCTCCGGTGTCTATGTATGATCAGCATAGTTTGTTGTTTTCGGATCCAGTACCGAAGCAAAACTATAATCTATAATATACACAAATATTTTTTATCACTGATGTTAGCTACTTCTATACACGTACTTTGTCGGGGTTAACGTCCGCTTTTACCTAGGGCGATAACGCAGACGAGTGTCTAAGAGGGAATCTGAACTATTGTTAGTACCGACTGTATTTCTGTACATTTTGCCATTAAAATGTACTTACTAGAGCTATAGCTAAACCAGATGATATTTCTTCAGTAGTGAGAACAGCATGGTAAGCTACATTTGTTGTGACATATACTACAGTAGGTATTAGTACTCCTATTAATATAGACAAGGGTAAGTTTCTGAAAGCAATCAAAATAACATGTCAACAACGAATTACGAAACTTTAAAAGTAAATGCTAAAAATGGTTCATTCGATACTCTACACTAGCCAGGATGGTTACTGACAAAAGTTAGATACCTCCTTTGGTACTTTAATTCACGGGATAGGCTAAAAACTCGGCTAATTTCCCGTACTATTTTAGATACGCAGAAAGATATAAATAAGTTCAAAAGGACTACATCACACATAAAACAACACACAATCTCCGGATACTGTAAGTCAGAAGTGTGCGCAAAATATAAAAAAAGATGATTATTAATATACCTATCGTAACAGCCATATTATCTACGGCAAACAAGTAGGGATCAGTCATCAAAATAAGGAACGTATTAGTGGAAACATGGTATTATTCTCATTTAGTGGTTTGTCACTTTACAATATTACATTTCTTTCCATTTTGTTTCAGTAAAGTTTCGATTGGTAGTGTAAGTTTATTTTCTAAGACATCTGATACCACTTCTCATTTGAGGAATCCATATAGCTAACATTTTGGGGAATTGTAATTGTAAAAGAAGCAAAACGACTGTTGATCTGAAGCTTGGAGTTGGGACGAGTGGTCCTTGTTCGTTTTTGTTAGGCTTAGACGCGTGTTCATTCTTCCAACAGAAGTCGCCCGATTGCATATATTTCAAGATTCACGATATGTTTTATATTCGCACGAATAAAACGTAGAAAACTTGAATGTATCGAATACCAGTTAATTAGATTTACATTTTCATTGTTTAGCCAACTTAAATATTTATGGATTTTAACAATCAACAGTTGCTAGCGCGTTCATCAGCCAAAGAATTGTGATATTTTACCGTTTTGCTTTCTGTATTTCTTCTGTTCCAAACGCTAAGGCATCCCTAAAATACAAGGTAGGTATTCGTTATAACACAACGATATCTAAGTGGTAAATGTTTTAAGCTCATTTCCATGGTCAACGTGCTGGGACGAAAATGTTTCGGGCACCGTCCCTATTCATTTAACTGGCGTGTAGCTGGGAGCATTTTCTTTATAATAAATCATTGGTTGCAAGAAAAGAAAGTCTTCATGTTTAAGAACACATGGTGAGTTCTCAATGTCAAGAGTGTTTAGTATATGTTTTTTATGATATATTACGAATGACAAGCAGCTTTCATAAAACACATAGATATAAATATGGCACTAAACATACAGTTTACAAGAACTTTGTACCCATTTCGAAAACGTTGATTTACCTTGATTAACATTGGGGATAAAAGCATGGTATTTTGTTTACATGGCATCAGTATATCTTGCAACTTACCATCCCCCATAAGCGAAGAATGCAGCATAGAAAGCCTTTGTTAAACCCAGCATAGTGATGTCAGTTGTAACAAATGAATTCTGGAAGTTCTCCGTCTGACCTTTAAAAAAATGATGCACGCACACCGCATATTAAATAGTTTCAATCATCCTGGATTGTGAACAACATGGTGGTGTCTAATATAACTAAATTTCAGGACCATTAAATATTTTAATATTCTTTACTACACAGCTACGACTGCCAATACCAACCATAAATTGTATATGTTGGAGGCAAGTAAATTGCCACCCCATGGTTTTACAATGTATACTTGATAGTGTAAGTTGATGAATAATAAAACGTTTCAAACTAAAGTTTCAGTGATACAAAAGACTGCGAAGAAGATTAATTTACCTTGTGCTAAATGGATGAACCCAGTTCCAATAATTACCATTAATACTGTAACTTTACAAATAGTACTGATAGTTTGATAATATGCACCCAGTTTAACGCTGTAACAATTTCCACATGTAATAAGGGCTAAAAGGAAATATCAAATATTCAAATTTCAATTCAATTTCATTCTGCTTAAAAGTTTATCGTTTTTGTTCCGTGGAACAGGGTATAATCATTTCTTTGCATGAAGTTGTGGTTCCACTATTAAAAACTCCGGTAAACTTTTTCGACTTCAGCAACTTACAAATAATCGTTTTGTCAAAAATGTATGTCAAATAATTGTTTGATATCTAGAAAAAGCGAAGACGGGTGCCCTCACTGCTCCGTGGAATGATTCTCACTGCTAAGCTACAATAAGGTAGGCAGCTTACTTAAAATCATGAGTACTATTTGCGTGCGTTTTTGGTTGAATACGTTTCACACGCGTGTGCAATAATAAATATTTGTTGACAAGATATAGACTTTGGTGCGCGAACTGCGAACGCCAAACATTTGGGATAATGCGACTTGACGATCTGGTCTTGTTGATTTCTCGCGTATTTTTGTTATTATTCTATAAATATTGAAACTTCTGGAAAATTCACAACGAAACGAGAAAGGCTATGTGCTGATAATAGGAGCAGCCGGCTATTTTAAATGTCAATTACAGATAATATGTCTTCTATTCACTTAATTCATTCATTAAATATTCGCTTATCTGTGTGTTTTTTTTTTGTATGAAATTAATGATCGTCATATGCGTAGCATTGAAAGTGGACTCTTGTTTGTAAATAGACAAATCTTTAGATGTGCAAGACACCTACAACTAAAATTTCAAATTTTCCCATTTTATAAAATAAATTTGAATCAGTATTAATGGTCCATGAAGTATCTTAATCTATCCCAAACTTAACTCCCACTTATTGTCAATAAAATATACCCATTACAACAGATTAACACACGCGTGTACATGTTTTCTGTAACAAACAATTGAAACTATAGTTTTTAATACCACAGTGTTACTATGTAAATATGTATGTAGATACTTCGTGACATCTGGCGTAATAACGTAACAGTATTGCTACGGCCGGTTCGGTTTGTTAGATTATATACTCAAATAACACACTTTTATGGAATAACAATTGCTATGGTTAATTTCACTGCGACGTTTCAACAAGATTTCACAAGTCGTATATGCTTGATAACGACTTGTGAAATCTTGTTGAAACGTCGCAGTGAAATAAACCATACTAATTGTTATTCCATAAAAGTGTGTTATTTGATTATGTTCCAATTACTAAATGCCATTCAAAGAATATATACAAGTACATTACCCAAAATAACAATAGTTAAAAGAGTCTTGGCTGAAGATGGTGCACCATACGAACACATAAAAACAGCTCTCATAATATATTCCGCAGACGCCATACATCCCAGGGCAGTTGACATAGGTCGCGTGAAGACACTCGACCAAACAAACAGAAATCCAGCCATATCGCCAAAACCTTCCTTTATATAGGTATAATTACCACCCGATTTACTTACTCTTGAACCTACAATGTTAATATTTATTTTATGATCAGTAGTGGAATACCGCGTTTTATCAGTGAAATAAAAGTGTTATTCCACTGGCTAGCAGTAGTCCATGTTGTTTTTACCTAAAATGATTGTAAAATCATAAAATAAATAGAACATTTGTCGTTTTGTCGTGAATAACATATTTTATTTCATTGAGAAGCAAGAAAACTTATATTTTCACGAATGCGTTGCATGAGTGAAAATATAAACGTTTTCTTGCTTAGAGATGATCAGTAGTGGAATACCGCGTTTTATCAGTGAAATAAAAGTGTTATTCCACTGGCTAGCAGTAGTCCATGTTGTTTTTACCTAAAATGATTGTAAAATCATAAAATAAATAGAACATTTGTCGTTTTGTCGTGAATAACATATTTTATTTCATTGAGAAGCAAGAAAACTTATATTTTCACGAATGCGTTGCATGAGTGAAAATATAAACGTTTTCTTGCTTAGAGATGATCAGTAGTGGAATACCGCGTTTTATCAGTGAAATAAAAGTGTTATTCCACTGGCTAGCAGTAGTCCATGTTGTTTTTACCTAAAATGATTGTAAAATCATAAAATAAATAGAACATTTGTCGTTTTGTCGTGAATAACATATTTTATTTCATCTCTAAGCAAGAAAACGTTTATATTTTCACTCATGCTACGCATTCGTGAAAATATAAGTTTTCTTGCTTCTCGATGAAATAAAATATGTTATTCACTCTAAAACGACAAATATCCTCTATGAAATAAATATGTACGGTTCTTTAATAATGGGGTTGTATTTATATATTAAATGTCTCTGCAATTAAAAAAAACAGTCTAGTTACACCACTATTCTAATAAAACTCGATTGCCAATTATGTTTATTTCATTTTTTATATAGTAGTCCATTTACATGTCACACAGTTTCTTTAGTGTTGGCGTTTAGATAACCTGATCTACTCGACAACTATAGTTGTGGGTGTTGATATACAGGGCTGCTTATTGTGGTGGATTATTATTATTATTATTATTATTACAGCATATTTATAGTGCACCCTTTCATATAACATGTTCAGGGGCACTTTACAAAGTGACAATGTAAATCACACATAAACAACAAGATTATGGGCATGTTAACGATTGTATACAGAGTCCGTTAAAAGCCTGATTAAATAAATGTGTTTTAAGTTGTTTTTTAAAAGAATACAGAGATGTACAACATCTTAAACTAAATGGTAGATTATTCCATAAAACAGGTGCTTGATAACTAAAAGAGCGCTGACCATAGGAGACTAGTTGAACAGTTTTGGGCTTTAAAAGTAGTTTATCTGATGTACATTTGAAATACGCACTGACTTCTAGTATAGGAGTACGGTAAATGTCCCACAACTATGATTACAAACATACGTGTAATTCACAGCTAGGGTCGAATTAAGCTTAAGTGAGGCCCCTGGCTGAAAATGGCACTGAAGCTCCGGCATCACCAGTGAAAAGGGGAATATTCTGGTCATGATCCAACACATTCACACAAATGCTATTTGCATGTCAGTATGGTACATAGATTATCTGGCACATACATCATAATAAATGATATATTTATTTGTGGTAAAAAAATATTTTAGAACTAATTTGGTGACCCCGTTATAATAGGGCCTCTGGCTGCAGATCAGTCGCTCCACGCACCCTTTAATCCTGCCGTGCAGACTCTTGCAATATCGACAGGAATTCAAATTTAAGTTAACCCGGGCTCTTGTCGATAGCAAAAACAGAACTAACTGGGTTATTATGAGACCACATATCGAACAGGTATGCTGACTCTATATGGATACTATAATTGTTAATTAAAAATTGAATAAGGTAAATGTATGTAAACGTTCGGAATTCCAAAGAGCCGGTATCGTGCTGGGAACGGTGCATACTTGCTCTATCAAAGGTGGATAATGTCAATTCCTATTTTCGGGGAAAATTGGCATAGCTACTAATTTCAGTTTTACGTTCATATTGTACATTAAAGAAAGAGAATTTCTACCCGCCCGCATATGTGAGCCTTTCTACGACTGAATCGAGGATTTACCATGCAATATTATATATATGAAAACCAACGCTTAGGGTAGGTTAGTATGAATGTGGATTCTGAAATGCTGTAATATCGTACTTTTGGTAACTGTTTTATATTTCAAACATTTGTTTTACAGTTAATCACGATTTGTCGTACAGGTAAGTCCTCTTGACACACATTCATCCACAGAATTATGCCTTTACATTGCGATAAATATATAAACCTTACCTAACTCCATATAACACATAGCTCCACACAGGGCCAATAATCCACAAAGGGTCCACATCATAAGAGTTACTCCTACGGAATACCCACATCCGATTAAAACCGATGATGGGCTTATAAAAATGCCAGAACCAATAATTGTACCAGCGACATAACTGATGCAGGCTGCCAGACCAATTTGTCGTTTTAATGTCACCATTCCGGACATTCGACACAGCTGAGCTCGTTTTCTTTCTTCTAAATCCTAATAAAATAAGGAGTTCAGAAGTCTTAAAGGGGGGCTATAACGTCAGCATTCTTTTAATTACTAAACGTGTAACCTGCTTAGAAATGCTTTGGACATTTAAAAGATTTATTTACACCGGGCAAGTGGCGATATTTTTGAGAATATATTTCATAGAAATCTTCAAAACTGTATTTTATCAGATATGTATATGCCATTGTTAAAACTTCATTATTGAATAATGTCATATAGTCCGATAAATATAATAAATGACCTAGAACAAACTGCAACGGAATTTCTCTCGGCGGAATCTGGTAGAGGGGTCCCTGAAGGTCTCCCAAACAAAAATCGCACAAAATAATGATAGGTTTTCAAGTAATCAACATAAATCCAATATGGCCGCCATTGCCACCATAAAGTTCCAATATCTCGGAAATGGTTGAGTTTGGAGGGTGTAAATGTATTACGGGTAGATAGAAAGGGGCTACGCTTAATCACGTTCCTATGACGATAGGTTTTCGTGTAATTAGCATAAATCCAATACGGCCGCCATTGGCACCTTAAAACTCCAATATCTCGGGAATGATTGAGTTTATAGGGTGTAAATTATTAGGGGTAGATATAAAAGTGATACCAAAGAATCAAAAAGGCATAATCCATGACGTCCTTGTGACGTCATATGTCCCAAAGCCCTGTATACGGCTTTGACACGTCCAACAATTGGCATAAATCCAATAGGGCTGCCACCGTGGTCCCGTGTATACATTGGAATGCACGTAAAAGATCCCTTGGCAGTTGGAATTCGACATAAGAGTAGGCGATAGTGCCGCTGCCCGGGCAAAATTTCCCTCATAGCACACTGTATGGCGTATGCCCGTCTTCATTAGCCCAGCATAGGAGCAGAACAGTAGGACGTTAAACCCCATTTCATTTCATTTCATTTCAATAGGGCTGCCAAGCATTTTGGACCTATTTCATTTACCGTTCGCGATACAGCTACATCATATTTATGGGCGAGGACTTCGGATCGGTACTTTGAATGCACACGACTTCTGTACCTTTTATTTGCGATTAAAGCAGCAACATAAGCCTAACTAACAACTGACAGACCTTCTGAATACACATGCACATGACGTAGAAGCTCCATAATAACACGGGGGGTTGGATGGCTGAATGGTTAGCGTATGCGCGCTGTATCACAAAGTCTGTCATTGAGTCGACTGGCGTGGTTTCGAATCCCCAGTTGTACGTGGCAAGGAGTAGGGTCGCCTGTCCAACCTCGTGGGTTTTCTCCGGGTCCTCCGGTTTCCTCCCACTGCTAAAGACCTCTACGCGCAAGCGAATTATGTAAATAAAATTAAACCACATGTTAGTCCCGAAATGACCTAGTTTGTGTCGAGTGGACGTTAAACCCCATTTCTCTCTCTCTCCATAATAACACCCGCCAAATCTGTTAACCAATTCACCCGACGCCAACTTAAAGATTGAAATTCATAGTCAACGATTAGCATGAACCTGAACCAATTGCATACTTGATACTAGTCCCTGAAATCGTCAATACAGAAGAATATGTTAGCAGATGTATTGTACAGTCCATAATAAAATCCAGGTCTATCAGAAACCAAGTAAAATATTCCTGTTAAAACCATTACAAACTGCCTTTCTTGACTCTTTTTGTAGTGGTTGAAACCAAATACACTACTTTGGTCAGGAAGGCACTATGCAGGCTGTTGCGACTGGAGGCCATCTCCGAAAAAACACTTATGAATGTAATCGTCAAGGTTGCACACTTTCGACCAACCATTATTTTGGACGCGTTCTGTATGATGTCAAGCCCTCTTCTCGCTGATCTTCGCATTCTTTACTTTGTAAATTGGTAAAACTCTTTAGCATTGTATTGTTCCAAGAAATACAGGAATCTGGGTTCAGACCTAACTTCTGAAATGCTATATGGTCGTTCTATGGACTTTGAAGCATGTCTTCCTACGAATTATCAACACTGCCTAGTCCCAGCCTCTAATCCCGATGTGGCTAGTGAGACACCCACTCCAAGATCTCCATTTGGTGACGAAACAGTGTCTGAATAAATTCGATGCAGGCGTCTTAGAACGGCCCCGGACATTAAGGGGTACCAACGACCATCTACAAATATAGATCTGCATGCATAGTTTCCTGAAAATTAGCTCCCAAATATTTCATGACTAATGGTTAGATATCAACAACAACGACCAGAATATCTGACAATTCGGCAAGCAATTTTATGTAATTGGCCGAGTTTATTTGCAAGGTACCTACAATTGTCCTAAATCGAACTGTCAGTTGTTTGTAGGTAACGACTACAATACACTGAACAGAACAACATCCAGCGAACTAAATACCCCCCCATTGCTACATTATAGTATTGCATTATGAATAATGAGTTATCCGACTTTAAGCTGAAACGTATAGTTTCCATACGGGTATGAGTTTTCTAGGTTTATTTGCTGACCTTAGGGACTATTCTGGGATGAGGCAAATTTTAAAGAAAATCTACCGCGAAAACACAGTTGGACACATTTCGAACGGGAAGGCATATGCCAAGACAACACGTAGATATTTTGTCATGCACTATCTGTTAATACGCTCGTGCGATTTACAATTACCACTAAGAGGAAATGATGACATGTATATAGATAAAGATATTCAAGAAATACATGAATTGTTTGGCAAGATGGTACAAGTAATACATTTTCACCCTCTAAACTCAACCATCCGCGAGAAACTGGGTGTTTATGGTTCCAATGACGGCCATATTGGATTTATACTAATTATTGGACGTTACAATGTCACGGGTGCATAATTTGGCAATGGTTTTTGGATTCCTTGGTAGCACTTTCCTACTCGTAAATACATTTACACCCTTCAAACTCACCAATTCCCGAGATATTGCAGGTTTAAGGTTTCAGTGGTGGCCTTATGACCTGACATTGTTTTTCTAGTTCTTTGGTACCACTTTCCTATCTTATCGTAATACATTTACATCCTCCAAATTCATCCATTCCCGAGATATTGGAGTTTTAAAATTTCAATGGTAACCAAATTGGATTATGCTAATTGTTAGCCGTATGACGGAATGATGTCACAGGGACGTCATTTAGCTATTTTTTCCTGAGCCATCTGTACCACTTTCCTATCTACCCGTAATATATTCACACCCTCTAAACTCAACTATTTCCGAGATATTGGAGTTTTAAGGTGGAAATAGCGGCCATATTGGATTTATGCTAATTACTCGAAAACCTATCATTTTATTTTGGTCGATTTTTGTTAGGGAGACCTTCAGGGACCCCTCTACCAGATTCCGTCGAGAGAATTCCTGTTGCAATTTGTTCTAGATATCCACTACATGGCTTATCTTTACCCGACTAATACGCCCACATCGAAATGTGATCGTATATTGTCGTCGCCCCCGACAGTATGCGCATTCGTCTGTCGTCCACAATTTCTTATGAACACTCTACCGACTACATTTATCATCTGATTGTTTTGAAATTAATATGTGCTGTCTACATTAAACAGCTGAAAAATCATGTTTAATTTTAATAATTTCCGTTAATTTCTTCTGGAGTTATGGCCCTTGTCTACCGACAAAGTTAACATCCTATCTGTATGAAATTTATATGCATCATTTAAATTAGCGAAACGAAGAGGTCTAATGAATTTCAGCAATTTCCCCTAATTAATGCTATGGCCCATGTTTCACTTTGTTACCATCCGATCTGTATGAAATTTATATGCATAATTTAAATTAGTGAAACCACGAAGGCGATTGAATTTCATCATTTCCATTAATTACTGATGACCCTTGTTTTACTTTGTTGGATATTGTGAACCCGCGAACGACAAAAGTTATCACCCGATCTATATGAAATTTATATGCATCATTTAAATTATTGAAACGAGAGAGAGAGAGAGAGAGAGAGAGAGAGAGAGAGAGAGATGGGGTTAAACGTCCACTCTACACAAACTAAGTCATTTCGGGACTAACATATGGTTTAGTTTTATTTCAATAATTCGCTTGCGCGTAGGGTCTTTAGCAGTGGGAGGAAACCGGCGGGTCCGGAGAAAACCCACGAGGTTGGACAGGCGACCCTACTCCTTGTCACGTACAACCGGGGATTCGAAACTACGCCAGTTGATTCAATGACAGGCCTTATGATACAGCGCGAACGTGCTTACCATTCGGCCACCCAACCCCCTATTGAAACGAAAAATCATATTATCAAATATTTCTGTCAATTACTTCAAGACTTATGGCCCATATTTTACTTTGTTAAACCCTCGAACGGCAGAAGTTATCATCTGATCTGTATTAAATTTATATGCATTATTTAAATTAGTAAAATGAACATGCGGTTGTAATACAAGATACGCCCATATTTTGCAAGAGATGGACAGAGAACAAGCAACAAAATAAGAAGCGATTTTTCGTACCATCACTATCACGGGCCCTTTCCGAAAGGAACCGAAATCTCTGGAATAGAAACATATATTTTAAGTTTCATCAAAATCGGATAAAAATTGTGACCTCAAGTGGGCCAACAACCTTTGTATTACATAATTTACACTATTTGCGTGCAAGGAGCGGCCATTTGTTGTTATATAACACACATTCTAGTTGATGTGAGGGATTAGCCAATGTAACGGTCTGTTACAGAGAGTTCTTGGCGTACGTGCACGGAACTGTGGGTATAAACGCTGATTGGTTTATCAAATGCCTGACATCATAGGGTCAAAAGTCGCTCGTATGACCCCTGACACGACCTCCCGCTATAACTTGTCAGATCATTATTTAGTGGAGGCCATCGAAAGTATAAAAAAAAACGAAACGGAATATAGATCTGTATTTTAAGCAGATTGGATTTTCATAAGCTAAAATCGCGATGTGTTCGTACAATCAGGTGTCATAATCCAGGAAGTTACAGCCCAATATGCGCCAGTGTCGAAAGGAACCGAGATCT